TAAATGGCCTGGGCGCAAAGGCACCGGTCACTGGGAGGGGCGGGCAAGCACATGTGGGGAAACATGTTGTGGACAGGGGTACCATGGTGACCCCCCCCCGGTGGCAAGGGCAGGCGCGCTGAGCGGCATCATAACGCCATCGCCAACAGCAGTCAGCCTTCCATTAAACGAGGACGGCGCCTGAATTGAGTGCTCGGTTCGATACAACTCTCCGGAAGCGAGCACATGCATCATGCCAGGTTGCGCGCGGAACCATGGCGCAGAGCAAACAGAGTACAGGGGTCTTGCCTGCTGAGTAAATACGTTGTCCAGGTTATAGACATTTTCCTTGCTGTCAGTGAATGGGCAAGCCATCTGAGCTTTGCGGTCGCAAGCGCGCAACAATAGTGGTTTGTGCCGAAATGACACCAAACACTTCCAATAATTATTGGGCAGCTAGTAAGGCTTTTTAAAGCAAAAAAGCTTACGAAAGCGGAAATTCTTATGGCTGGTGCCGTACGCCTAGGTCGCTCCGGACCTGGGGGTAACGGTGGTCATTGTTTGTGAAAGCACGGCGAGCAGTGTTGTACGCAGTCGTACTTCTTTCTCGAACTGTGTTCGAGTATGCGTTTGCCTGTCACCATGCACAAAGGACTTATGCTATGCACGTAGTTAAAATGCAGCTCTTTTTATCCGCCGGCAAGTGTCACTCGTATGCTGACTAGCGGTGCTTACTCGCCTCATACAGGTACATAGTCTGGTCTATTAAAGGTTGCCGCTCCATAATGTCGGTAAACGTGTTTCGTGGCACATTGAAGAGTTTGGCAACTGTCGTACTCTAAGGCGAGCGGCATGCAACCCCTATGCATCAATAAGCAAATAGTGATGAAAGGTATTGCTTGTTTGCTGTCTTAGTGGAGGTCTGTCCATTGTCAACACCGTCCAAGTTGCCAAACAACCGCGCTGATGCTCTTGACAATGTATAGCCTGCCAGGCCAATTGCAACATGGGCCGAAGCAATAGAGACCCAAAGGAAATTGAAGCATTCGCTGGCTGGCTCAGGGACCGCTTTACACGCTCGCTGGTGCTCAGAGATGTTGAAGGCGTTGGTCACCGGGAGCACCACCTTGCAGCCGGGTACCGGACAACGCCAACTCCCTTGCGGTGTCTTTGCTGGCTTTGCTGTCTTCTTCTTTTCGCACGCTAATACATGCTTCGTGAAATTGTACTCGTTGTGGGCAGAGTAATCTGCCTCGCAATGCGGGCAAACTTGCTCAACCGCTCCGCCGAGGGGGCCATTGACTTGCGGACCAGGGCCCTGAGGCCTGGTCTGCCTTAAGCTATATGATATCTGATATGCCATAAACTCTAAAGCTACTTATTCAGTGCCTCCGCGGCCTAAGACTGCCAAGTTGCGCGGTCAACCATGAGCATTGGGATGGCGACGTACATTTATGTGTCCCTTTGAAGTATACAAGCTTATATAACAATAAGGAATGTTAATGCCAAGTGTATTCTACTTTTTTCTTTGCGAAACTTGCCTTAGGAAAAAAGTTAGTAAATTTTTCCACATGGCCCGGACTCCCCCTTTGGGACCGCCCCCCAGGGACCCCATTTTGACCCCAAAAATAGTAAACGGCAGATTTCAATGAGTTCTATTACGCTTGGGGTGTCACGGGATCGGGAGGGGCATGAGGTACAGAACTATACTTCCGCACCCCTCCTGATTGCGTAAAGCTGTGGCAAGGGAACGCCCTACGACCAGTACACCATCCTGACGAAAATTTTTGCGAGTGTGTAACCCCCTAGGAAACTGATGCTGCTGGGCGTCGGCTATTGCGCCCAGGGTGCTAGTGCTGTACGACCCTACGCGGTGCCCGTATGAAGACGATTGCACTGCGCTGCTACCGTCCTAGCCTAGCGTGGTGTGGCAAAGGCTATTGGCTGGTTACGGCGCACTAGCGGCTGTGTGCAATGCCCTCGTGCTGCCCAACCCCTGGCGATGTGTACGGCAAAGGCTAACTACTCCGACCGAGCTCGTTTCTGGGCTAGGAACAGGTACAAAGCCTAGTCCTGCGGTGTTTGAGTGCAGGGCTCGGGCCTACGGCCCTCGCCTCAGGTCTGGCTACTGCGGTAACAGTACGGGCCTGGCGAAGCTGAGCCCTAACCGGTTCTGGGCTGGGCGCTTGCTGTCCGGGCGGCTGGAAGCCTGGAAGGCGCCGGTGAAGCCCTGGGAGACACGACGGCGTAGCACTTGAAGATACTCTGACCTTACAAGTGTTATAGCCTGTTCAGTGCGGGATTACAGGCCCGTTCCTTGGAAGCCTGATAGTCCTGGACACAAGGACGGATAGCCCTGCACAGGTACGACCACGGATAGGTCTCTAACAGGTCTTCTTAACCCCGGAAAAGGCCCCGGTATTTATACTGAAGGCAGGGATCCTCCCTAGAGTGACAACGTTGCACAGTCATAGCGTCATCGTGATGTCAGCATGACGTCAACCAGACTGAAACACTTACTGGCACAAACCCTCGGAGGGTTATTCCCTATGCGCAGCAAGAACAGCCTCAGATCCTCTATCCAACAAGGCAAACAGCTATATCAGGGGCCCCTCTACCAGGAAATACCAAAACCCCTGTTGAGTCATCAGGCTTCGTACCACAATCCCATCGCAAACAGTACGGCCTCGCTTCGCTCGGCCGTTACGTTATTAGTAATCCAACCGTTACTGGTAAATAGAAAAGGTAACAGCGAGTCAATTACGCGCTACGAGTACAGGTACCGACGAGGCCAATGTAAAGTAAGTAGCTCTTGCGGCAGCAATTCCTCGCGGCCGGGCCCATGGTTCGTCGCGCCGTCTTCCCTTGCTCTCTTTTAGTCCAACAAGTATAGTTCAATACAACATACATTACTGACGCCACTCGCGGCTATTCCGACGTCGGCGACCGACCGCTTGCCGATCCCTCTTGCCGGTCAGCGCGCGACACGGCCCTATCGCAACAATCCGCATCCTAACAGCCTAGCTCAAAGCCCCATTTCGCTGCCACAAAGCATTTGACGCTATTACAGCACGCGGTCTCACAGTTCGTGTTAAGCTTTTACTGGACAAGGTTGCTGTTGACACACGCTTTAGAGGTTTGACATATCAACACGTATACCACTTTCTAAACGCCAATAAAGGTAGTCGCAAGCACGCCCGCCCATCCTCTTGCGGCCTGTCTAGCGACAGCGCTCTTCCTCCGAACAAGCGAACAAAATGGTCACCAGAGGAGGAAGGAGGAGGAAAACAGTGACGATGACTGCTAGCAAGCACGCTGCTTTTTGAGAAATGGCCTAGGATGCGAAAGTTACACGGATGGGGCTTTAACAATAGAGCTGTGCGGATGGCAGTGGAACGGCCTCGGAGGACGGGGAGGACAACAGTGATGACAGCTGCTAGCAAGCTGCTGCGTGCGATTCATGTGGGTTGCATTGTGTAGGCATGCTGTGCGCAACATCGGACTCTGAACATTTAGATGGGTGCCCTTGGTAATTACACATGCCCCTGGTATCGTGAGAGGCGTAACACACTTGCTTACCTGCAATACTGACGCGTTCATACATAGGCCAACAGCTCGTCCTGCTTGCGGTAACGTGCTCACGTGCACACCCAACAGTGTGGCCTGTGCCATCATAGGATTTGTGGGTGGTACCCATCACTTTCCGATACTCACGACGACCCCGGCTTACGGCCGCACGGCACCCTTCCTAAGGAAGTAGGTGACTGGAGCCCCTCATCCCCCATCCCCGCCATTGCTACAAATTTCGCACCTACAGGCATCGGCTCATCCTTTTTGCATTGCCCCCGAGTGGCTAAGTACCAGCTTCCCGTTTCATTTTAAGCCACGGAAAAGTACTCTTTAATGCTGCCAGTACAGTGTCATGAACTGAACAAGAAACAACTGACCACAACCACACATGCCTAATGTCTGCTCTTATGGTTGTTGTGGCTGGGTGTGAGGGGATTGGCCATCCTGTCACACCTGGTGCGCGGGGCCCCACCACCCTCTTTCATTCCTATGTTGGGTTTGTTCTCAGGGCATTCCTTCCTGCACGGCATGGACGCCTAAGCCCCAAATGAGCTGCAACGCACACGATCTTAGCCTATAACAATCCGGAGGCTTGCAAGTGTTTAATAGCATCCCATTTCCGGCATAGGGAAGGGATGGGGTTCAGCGGTGGGGAAGGGGCAGTGGGACCAGTGGTGGCCACCGCATGCCCCATTCCCATACTAAGGTTTCTTGGGTCTAAATGCGGAACGGAGCGGTGGCCGACCATCTCAAAGCATGATGTAGAAGGAAAGAACCCACACGCTCGATGTGAGGACCGGTATACCGGTATATTCACAAACTTCACTTATCCCAAACCGGGTTTCCGGACCACCCCACCCGGAGCTACCTCAGACCCTACCCTGGAGGCCCCTCCAACTGCCACCCCAGAAATGAGGATGCATGCTGCGCCGCAGCCAGGTCGAATCCCATTGTAGGCATTTGCATGCCTACATACGCCTCGGCGGACACGTTAAGCTCGCTCAGGGCTACTTCCGCTAATAGTGCAGCCGCAAGCATTGAATCTGACAATGGCTGGTGAGGGCTGTAAGGACTGCAAAGGGTATGGCAGCAACAACTACCCTACATATGGGAGGATTACATACTTGCAGGAGCGGCTAACATTTGCAACGGGAAAGCTCCTTGCTCCTTCTCGCAAGCCTTGCTTGCGGCACCACCTGGATGCCAGACTCCTAGGTCGCTGGCGCATTACCCATGCTGCCGTCGCGGGCAGCATCGCCCAAGCTGCCAGACTCCTCGCCTCTGATGACTTGAGGATACTGCCAAGCTCCTCGACGCGGCCGGACATCACCCATGCTGTCGGACTCTCTCCTCGTCGCTGGCCATGGCCGGGCGGGCCGGGGCGTCTAAGGAATACCGGTACGCGACAACTGCTATGAAGCTTGGAAGCTATGAACACGTACTTAGGAATACTGTGCATTACAACCGTTTGGGCTTTGTAGTTGCAGCAACGTGGTGATATTGACAAAGAGTGTGTGCAGAGTTCGCAAATAACTCGACGTACGTCTGCAGAGTCCGCAAACAACTTAAGGAAAAGCCACCCAGTACTGGACCTAGACCACCTGAGTTAACTTTAATTTGGCTGTTCCTATGTCAGCCTTACCGTACGGAAGACCTGACAGAGAACAGCTGAAGTGCTGAACAGAGACCCAGCGCCGATCATGCCAAGCATGCGTGCGGCTTGAAAGTCAGTAACATGTCTATTGCTCTTTCAGACGAAGCGGAGCTGCAAGTGCAGGGTTACCTGCGCTTCGCAAATCTTAAGCGCGAGCAGCATGTCCGTGAGGTTGTTTCGACAATCAGCGATTTCAAGTCTAGCCGCATCCGAGAAGGGGTACGTCATGGGTGTGCGTTGGGTGTGGATCTAGCCCTTGCGTAAAGTCGTGTGCCCGAAATGCACAGGAAATGTATAATTTTCGGGAGCTTTTGGCGTTATTCAGCGAGTTGGAGCAGGAAGCGAGGCAGCTGATTGAGAAAGTGGGTGCGCGATGGGATCTCGTTTTGGCTGGCCAGCCATCATTGTTGGGCTGCCCACCAGGGCGTGGGCAAAGCATTGGATCAGCTGCGCTTAAAGGACACGTCAGCAGGGATTCGGGGAAGACGTGAAAGGGCACGTTCACTCTCGGTGGGCGGGCCAAGGTGCGTTTTGCGCAGGTCTTTTATTAGACCCGCCGCTGTCGCTCACTATAAAAGGAATTTCAAGCTTTAATAGTTCTGGGGAATCTTCCTTGTCCATTTGCACGGAGGCAGGAGGTCAGCTGGTCAGCTCTGTTTTTATAAGCAGGCAGTGCGTCATGCATAGGCACACGTGCGTCCTGTCTTCACCGTGATTAGTATGCAAGTGTTACAGGGGAGTCAGAGCTACTGAAGTGCGACGCACAACCCTATAGGCCTTTAGGCCATTCTTTGGGATCAGTGGTTCCTCTTAAAGTAAGGGATAAACGTTTACTCACCTGTGTGTGGTCTATATAGCACTGATCCATCTTTAGGGTGGCATAAGAACAATGCGTGCCCAGAAGTCCGCTATAACGCCAACACCAATACTGTCTTGTAACTGTTCGTTCCGTCCCTCCCCAAGTCCTGTACTATGCATCAACTTTCTCCCCAACTCAAGAGCTGCGAGACATACTGTGTCCCATACAAGGGTGTGTACGCCTAATGTGAACAGGCACACAAAATATCACGCCTTTTGTGTATAGAGCAAGGTTGACGTACTTGCGTACACACATGCTGTCGCATGTAGGCCAAGACGTTCCTGCAAGGCCTTCCCATGCTTTGGAGCTTCAGGTCTTCGGCAGCACCCATACGCGTTCCAAAAGGCGCGAACTTTGAAACCCGCGGCCCCGCTGCCTCTATCCCTCCATGATGACGCCTTATCACACGGTTCGTTAGTCGTTTCTCTTTGCCACCCTGCCTCTAGCCTTCCTCCCCTCCCGTGAGTTTGGTTTGGTTTCCCTCCTACCCTTCTCCCGCAGGAGATCCAGGACGCCTACCACACGAATGCGCTGCTCGTGAAGCTGCTGCTGGGTCAGGCTCAGGCTGCGGGAGTGGAGCTGGCGGTGGACACCAACCAGCTGGAGAACGAGTTCCTTCTCAAACAGGTGGGGAGAGGCAGCCCGGGCAGGGAAGGGGCAGGGTGTAGAGGGGTTGGGCATCAGGGTAGAGGTGAAAGGTCAGGTTTTTAGGTGGAAGGGCGGTAAGGAATGCTGTTTTAATGTCAGTGTTGCATTCATCAGGGCCTTTGGGTCACCTGCGTAAGCCCATGTTTAGGGTTGCAAGGACCTTAGGATAATAAATAATATTTTTTGGTTCTTAACCGGGAGGGGTGCGGTAGCATAGTTTTGTACCTCGTGCCCCTCCCGGACCCCGAGACACCCCGAGGGTAATAGAACTCATCGAAATCTGCCATAATAACTTATTTTGGGCCCGAAATGGGGTCCCTGGGGGGCGTCCCCAGGGGGGGTCTGGGCTGTAAGAAAATTTGCCAACTTTATTTCCTGATGCGGGTTTAACATGGAAAGAAGTTGGAACTATCTAACATTACCAATCCCTACTGTTTAGCATCAATTTAAGCTCAAAAGGGACAAAGGAAGCTTCGTCGCCATCCCAATGGCAATGGTTGACCGAACGACGTAGCAGCCCTAGCCCCCAGAAGCACCGAATAGGTAGCATTAAACAATTGGCGTAGCAGTTTTGAACTTACTTAAGCCAGTCAAGGCCCCAGCGCTGTGGCCTGCAAGCCGGTGGCTCCGTTCATTCGTATAGCCAGGCTGGCCGCTCTGCCCCCAACGAATGCAGCCTCAAGAGACTTGCAACAGCATGTGTAGCTTTAAAGTAACGCCAGCAAAGACACCGCCGGGACTTTGGCGTTGTCCGGTACCCGGCTGCAAGATGATGCTACCGCTGGCCAGCACCTTCAACATCTCGGAGCACCAGCGAGCGCAATGGACTTATCAATGCGCACGAAAACGTAGTTTCGTACACGAAAAGACTTTGCCGTACAGTAGTTTGGGGTGGTGGTGGGGGGCAGGAGGGGTGAGAAGAAATAATATTCTTCTGTAGTACGCAGTAGGGGTGAGATAAAAAAGTTGACAGTAAGAGCAAAAAGTCCGGCGACCCACCCGTGACCACCCATCCACCCCAAAAGCAGCCCCAAATGGGAATTTCGTGTACGATATTGTTTAAACAGCTTTCTTATGATTTATATAGTACCCCTAACTGTCTTCATGAAGGTCGGAGGCCATTCTTGTCGTGAAACCCGCCGCAAGGACAGTCCGGGAACTTCCACTTAGCGACCCGCTTTGGCCTGTCCGCACGCTGTTGCTGGCATTTTCCCACATGTTTATCATAATTGGCTTTGCTGCCCGGCGGAAAGAACTTGGAGCAGGTCGATCAAGATTGCCCGGCTGTGCCGATATCTGCTCCTGAGACATCTTGGGTGCTTGTAGCGATTGTTCAAGCAAGTATATCAACGTTAGTTGCAGAAGCAGAAGCAGCCTTCGACCAGGTCTGGGATAGCATCCACAACTATGCGCTCGTATAGTGACTGTATATGAATGATATGTGCGTAAATCAATGGAACTTAGCCCTTGGCCCGTTATCCTTTTCTTAGGCAAGTTATGGTGTATTGTTCAGCTGTATTGTACAGCAACGACACGGGCTCTTGCAGCAAATCGTGGTTTGGTGTAAAGCAAATGTAAGGGCACCTAGTATATGGCAGTCGATGGTGACGATAGCTGTATGAGGGGGCTTCACCATTGGGTTCGTCATGATGGCTGTGGTTAGGGAAGGGGCCTTATTTTTCACCCTCCCCGTGCTTCTAGTACACCCGACAACGCGTCACGTAATTGTGCTGCCACTTACGGTTAGGGGAGGGGCTGGCCTGCACGGCCTCTCACGCACAGCGCGGATTGGGCGGGGGGGAGGGAGGTGGATGACTAAAGATGATGAGGCGCCTCCTGGTCTGGTCACATGATCGCCATTCATCATACTTCTAGCTCAATATTCGTTGGTGGGCTATGTTTTTCCGCATTGCATTCATTCCAGTGGTAACAATACGTTCCTGTACTGATGAGGAGGGGCTCCGCCCTTTTCCAGCGTTGAGGAAGCTGAACCCCCTTGTTATGGGAAAGGGTTTGCGAGAGGGCAGGTGGGTAGCGGATGGGGAATAAACAACATACCAACCCATAGGAAATTTCAGTAAGGGCAAAGCAAAGGGGATGGGAGGCGGTAGAGTGTCACAAACACAAAACATTAAAAAAAGGACAGCCGCAGCAGGCTACAGTTCATCGACCGTTACTATGTGCTGCACACCTAGCACTGCCTTCTCTTGCTTTAGCCCAGTATGGATTGCTAAGAAATGAACAGGTACCGTTTAGGGATCTGGTAAGCAGATGTTGGGAAAGAGGTCAGGGGCCTGAGGCTACAGTTGGTTGTATAACCGCTTTGCACTTGTGGCATCGCCTATTTTCCTACGCACAATTAGACTATGTTCTTCACCGCCGTTTTCTTCATGTGTTTTTTGCCGCTGCGGCCCGTTCACAACACAGCGGCGTCTCCCACAATTGCGGTCCCTCCGTATTCCTCCGTCCAATCTGCAGTTAGTACGGTCTCTCCGTCTTCCTGCATCCTTCCGCGCTGCGGTTTCGCCCTGAACATCGATGATCAGCTTCCGTGCCTATTGCACCCGCACATTCCATGCCAGGCGCCTTGGCCGTGTTAAAAGTTTACGAGCTCTGACGTACACTAACGCGAGCTAGCGTGGTCCCTCCGTCTTCCAGCGTCCTTCGGCGCAGCGATTTTGTGCTTACCACAGGTGATCACGTTCCGTACCTAATGTACCCGCATTTTCATTGCCAGGCGCTCGGGCCGCGTCAAATGCTTATGAGCTCTGCCGTACAATGACGCTATTCCTCCTAACGGGCTTACTGGTTGGTCCTCCAGTGTAATCCTCGCTTCCTAACTATGTAAGCCAAGCGTAAATATAGCAATTTTACAAAGAAATTCGCAGTAAGAAAAAAGTTACAAAAATGTAGGCCGGCCCAGGGACCACCCCACACCCCAAATCCCCCCTCGAAATTGACAGGAAATAGATTTGAAAGGGATATTTCCACTTCATCTATAATTCTAGCAGTGTTTGGGATCAGTTTACCTCATATCCCCAAAAGCTGAGATTTTCCACCCCTCCTGTTGGGGGGGGATATAGATAAATGCATCAACGGAGTCCCAATCCCGAATCCCGACTCATGCAGTGAGCGCATTCGGAGACCCTATTCTAGAACCACGCAGCTCAGAGACTTACCGATTGCTTGCTTACCATTCACCGAGATGACTTGAGGAAGAAGCCGCCTTGCATAGGAACCCTAGTAAGGCATGTGCCGCGCCGCCGGCCACTAATCCTAAGGCAACATGGCTATTGGGCATACAAGAAGATAAGTCAACGAGACGCGTTACGGGAAAGTTACCTGGAGAGAGGACCGAGAGGAACATGGCCATGGGTACAAGGAGTGTAGACGCAGGCCAGCAATGCCAAAGCAGGGCATGGTCCACCGCCGAGTGGAAACAGGAAAAGAGATTGTCAATATGCAAGAAGGAACGGGATTAATCCCAACCTCCGCCTTTGCTACGTCAAGGGTTTGTGATGGATGCGGTGTCCCTCTTTCCAAAGCCGGTCCGGCTGCTTGCGTACTTAACCGAATTGTCTACCCCTCCGTTACCCATCTCTAGGCAAGCAGAACGTGCATAGGTTCATTGGTTTGCTCTTGAAGCGTTTATTAATTTTGGACCTTCAGCCAAAACTTTGGTTTGAGGGCGCACAAAGGCCCGGAACGGCGGCCTGAGCTTGTGTATAAGAAAGACGAGATAGGATGGTGGACAGTATGGCCCGACATTGGGTGCATAGGGCCCTTCCACTGCAGGTGCCGTGTTAATTGGGGACAGCTAGTCTTGATTTCGTTGCTTAGCCTTTCTAAGTTGCGGTCTGTTGTTCTTGTTTACTTAGGGCGAGCTCTGAGCTGCGGATAGCTCTGGGCCAAGAAGATGCGACTTTTTCCCCACCCATCCACCCTTTTTTCCTGTGATGGCTACCAGGGATTGTCTCTGCATGCAGCCGTTCCAGGTGTGGCGGTGATGCAGACCGGTGCCGGATTCCAACCTAGCGGTTGGGGTAGACCGGGCCAACTCCCACCCAACACAAGTTGACAATTTTCCCGGTAGCTTGGGGCTGAGGAGGATAATCGATGCTGGGGAGCTTCAGTTTGTAACAACTACATATAGGAATATAGCATGAAGGTCTAATTGGTCAGGCCGAGACGTCGGGGGGGGCCTTGCGAACTAAAATGCAATATCTGTCATGGCAATGTTCTACCCCCCTCCATTTTTGTTTGCTGGCATTTCACCGCCGCGGCACCTAATACATGCCCATATTACCCATATTGCGCATGGCTCAGTTTGACATGCTCGTCCCATGCCGTACTTCGCATTGCCGCCATCTCCGCATAAAATTTAACTCTCCGCATCAGGGAGGGGGTAAGAAATTTATATGTAAACCCCATGATGAATTTTTGAAAGGGTAGGTCCCGGGACCACCCACCCACCCCTGCCGTACGGCAAGCATGTCGTACAATGTGTAAACTTCGCCAAAACGCCCGGGAAAAAAGCTGCTAGACTCCTCTGCTTAAGCTCTATTTAGTGCTAAACAAATACCCAGAACCCCCTTGGGAGACGGGCAGAAAACTACCACCGCCACGTCCCCGACCCCGGCCCCTGCCTCCTCTTCCCCCTGTCACGCCACGCCTTGGACCACTACCCACATCCCCGTCATCTTGCATCCTTCACTCCATTCCCTCGTCTGCTGCTGCTGCTACACCCGGTGCTTTCGTCGGTGCCGTGCTGAAGCACCTTCCCCCGAACCCGCGAAATATCCCCTTTACAGCCGCTGCTGCTCTTGAGTGCTGCAATGCGACCCTCAGCCATGTGACACAACCTGTCGCGCTTAAGAACTGAGTGGAACATCTTCCTGATAACTGCGATCAGCTCCGTCAGCTGTTCATCGGGGTGGGCGTGCTGCAGATGATCCGGGTAGTTGTACCACACGCTCCAC